CGACATCTTCTGCAGGTCTGCTGTCTCAAAACGAGGATCCGAGTCGCGCGACTCGTCACGCTTCTTGTCGTAAACCATCTCAGAAGCGGATCGGAGGGAATTGAGAGATTGAGGACCCGGAGAGGATGGAGGAGAGTCGAGGAAGGAAGAGGAGTGGAACGGATATAGGTACGTACTTATGTAACGGTTGATTGCGGGGCACCACGAGCCACTCTCCTTGGCATTGGCAATTGCGGGGGAGGGCTAGACTGCATTAAGGTTCCGCTTAAGGTTCCGCTCTCTTCCATTGGAGCGAGAAGCGACCGTTGACGACTGCCGTGAAATTGACTTCAATAAAAGGCCATTCGAGCCACATGTATTGAGTACCTAGTGATTCCTTGTGCCACGAAGCAGCCGAAACAAGGAGGGATTGCACGCGTCTAGAGTGTTCAAGATCCTTCAAAGGCTATCTTATGGCTGGCCTTTCATGGTGTCCACGCTTCTTTCTGCCAGTATTGGGCCATAAATCCAAGAGACGAAACCTTACGGATACAGCACGAGCATATCAAAGCATCTTTCTGAACAAAGAGAATGGATAGCAACATCAAGGAGACGTTACCTCCCTCAACACCACGTTCAACAAACGCTAGTTTCTCGGCCTGAAAGCACGAGAACATTCGACCTAAAGCTTACCGTCAGCCGCGAGGACGGTGGTCGTTCATATGGCGATGCAACGATGCTTTGGATTTGTTGTGGGGAACTGCTCTCCACTGCTTAGGTGACAGGCCGTCGACCGAGATCTATGACTTGAAACCTAGATGCGAGCACCGCGTACACCGAGGTCCTGATGGAAAGCCAGAGCAAGCTACTCCGATTTTCCCCTTGGGTATTGAAGTCAAAGACCATACGCTTTCCAGAAACGGGCCTGTTGGAGTCCATAGTTCTCTCGAATTATTCTCAGCCGACTTCTCGTTCTCCTGTGGCGCTCTGACTGAGTCTGCAGCCGTTCCGGACGGATATGTATGCCGTGGAGGAGATTAGAAATTTGCTGCGGCGGAGATGGTTTTGGGTCGTGAATAGAAATTCGGACACTGGGGCTCTATTAATGTCTGCGTATATATTTGCAAATTATGCGCCGTCCCAAATAATGCATGCACAAGTGTTTCAAATAATTCGAGCGCACGGCCGAATATTTTCCCCGACTCCTATACCCGGTAATGCACGATCTAAAAATCCGATAAATTTGGAAGCTTCAGTAATGCGTCTTTTCACAACAGTATAATAAAATATTGACAAATCAAATTATAAAACGTAGGACAAGATTTCTAAGAGTTCAAGAATTTTTGAGTGTAATAAAGTCTGAGCGAATTCTTTAACCCTACGTCACGTAACGGAGCGGGGGTGAGGTTAGGTTGAGTTTTTTGGGGAGGGTATCCCCCAAAAACTCAGCCCCGGATTTATCGGATTACAAACCGTGCATTACCTAGTAGCGGGCATTACCGGGTACACTGTATACACGAGTAAAGCAGAGGCGGCTCGCCAATCCTTGGCCCGAAAGTCCGCAGTTTCTCCGCCAGCATACACATCAATGGTGATTTCCAATTTCTCACTCTTCACGAAGTGTCCGGCCGAGAGCAGTAAACGCCGTGTCCGACAATGGCACTGCCATCGCTGCGCGGCCGTGATGGCATCGTGTATAAAGGGGTGACGGTTCCGGCGGAGAGGAGTGTCCTCCAGAATACGAGCTGTCCACGCCGTCAGCCCGATACGGTAAAGTCTTGGGTCCATGTCCTCGAGTGCCAAATACCTTCGCCCTCTCCCTAGGTCCTTTCGATTCGCCAAAACTCCGAGTCCCTTGAGCAACGCCGAATCACCGGCGACCGCAATGACAAACACCAAGCCTCTCCTAGCCTTTTACGGTGCAACAGGTGGTTCCACCCTTGCAGCACTTGTGCCCGCTCTCAAAGCCGGCTACGATTGCACTGCTCGTGAGCATCCCTTCTCTCCACTGCCAACCCACCCGCTGACTCCCCATCAGTCGTCCGCACCCCCTCCAAACTCACCGCCCTCCTTCTCGAAAAAGCCGTCCCACAATCCGCCATAGACACCCACCTCACCATCTCCAAAGGCGACGTCTTGAACACCCAAGACTGCAGGGGAACCCTGACCCTCCACGGCCGTACCGCCGACATCGTCATCTCCGGCATCGGCGTCCCCCCCACAGGCCCCGAAATCACAGTCTGCACCACCACCGCCAACAACATCCTCTCCGCCCTCCCGACCCTGCCCCCGACCGCATCCGGGAAGAAAGCCCTCTTCGTCGCCCTCTCCACCACCGGCGTGTCGGACGGACCGCGCGATGTCCCGCTCCTGTTCGCGCCGCTGTATCATTGGTTCTTGGCGAATCCGCACCAGGATAAGAGAAAGATGGAGAAGGCGATTGGGGAACAGACGGATAACTTTGTGATTGTGCGTCCGAGTCTTTTGACGAATGGAAAGGCGCAGGGGGGGAGGAAGATTAAGGTTGGGACTGAGGGGGAGCCGGTCGTTGGGTATGTGATTAGTAGGGAGGATGTGGGACTTTGGATGTTTGAGAATCTGGTGCAGGGTGATGGGGCTAGGTATGTGGGGCAGAAGGTTATCATTACTCATTGAGAAGGGGGGGAGGGGGTGGGAGATGAGGATGGTAGGGGCGGTGGTAATGGGACGAGAGAGGGCACGGAATGCGGGAGAAGCGATGATTGTTCGTGTACTAGTACGGAGTTCCGTTGCTTTTATGGATTTTAGGACAGGTTAGCCGAAGATACAATCGTCACAGCAATCTACCTTTCTCGAGATTTTCACAATCATAATCACTCGGACCTTCTCAATCTCCCCATCTCTCGCGGTGTCCACGTCGCTGGAACGCTACTTTAGGTCCAGGGGCAAGTCCAGACAAAGTAGTGAACATTCTTGGCTCCCGCCAAACCTGACATTCACAGATTTATTTTTGAACGGATGAACTCTCTAGACCAGCCGCACTGGCAGAAAACGCAAAGGTAGCAATGTTAACACTCTGCTCGACAGGGTGAAACCCGCCCGCACAGGACAGAAAGTCTCCTGTCAGGCCCAAACACGCGCGTTGCTTCATCAATCGTTGAGACATCCATAACCACGCACTTAGTAAAGCAAAGCAACATTCAACCATCATAACCATCATCATCCTCGTCACCGCCGAGCGCATACTCCAAATCTTCCCGCTCACAGCCTCGAGGCCCAAGGCCGAAATGCCTTCTCTCACGCCCAATCGCGTAGGGATCTCTGCTACGGCCCACGTATGCGCCCCTCCTGCCGAATTGCTCGTCTTCGTCTTCATCGTCGGTGTCGTCTCCGTGGCGACCGTTACGGCGGGGATGTTTTGGAGGGCGACGGTGGTAAGGGGGTGGGACTGGATAGACGACGAGGGGTTTTAGGCGGGTGCGCATGAAGCTTTCGCTTGAGACTTGGCTTATGGCTTCTTCTTCTTCTTCTTCTTCTTCTTCTTCTTCTTCTTCTTCTTCTTCTTCTTCTTCTTCTTCTCTTTCTCCTTCTCCTTCTCCTTCTCCTTCTCCTTCGCCTTCTCCTTCTCCTTCGTCTTCCTCGCGGCCCCAATGATAGCGGTGGCTTGAGGCAGATCTGTGCTCGTCTCGAGGCTCGTCTTCATCGTACATCCAAGGATGCGCTCTTAGCGGCTTGCGTACATGGTCCCTACTATGGGGGCGAAGCGGTGCATGTCTTACTCTATCTCCGTGAGGATCGTACAACTCACTTTCAAAGTACGGCGGAAGACCTCCAGCTATGGGGACTCTGCGTACCATACGCGGCTGGTTGTCTCTTTCTCTGTGAACTTCGTACATTCGGTCTCCGGGAATTTCACAGGTCTCGTTTGTAGGAAGTGGCGGGCGGTTCCTGGGGTCTCGCACGTCGAGGGTTTGGTTTCCGCGATACGACGGGCGGCCTTGATTGTGGTGGTATCTTTGCCATGGGTACCGCTGCTGTCCACGTACATGAGTGCCGCGTCCATCAAGCCTAGGCGGCTTGCCATGCCAATACTCATCATTGCCGCCATTTCTGCGGTCTTCAGGTCGTTTGTAGCGTGGACTTTCTCGGCGTGGGTAGAGCTCTTTTTTATATCGCTCTCGATTAGGGTGCACGTGAAGCCAGAACATGAATTCATTTTCATATCTTGCTTTGCGGTCTGGCACGTGTTTGCAAGGGATGGTGAATCCTTGACGCTGCCATTGGGCTCGTTCATGTTCGAACTCACGATAGACAGGGTCCTGTGCGAGACCATCCGGGATCCAGTCTGAACTCTCTGGATCGTTTCGAAGTAACGACTTAATAGGGTTATCTGGACGTACAGTGATAGGTTTCTCACCGTAGAGCACAGGAGGTAGTTCGAAATTTTTCCCATCACGCAAAATGGTGCGTGGGCGATTGTAGGTTCCGGGATTTCTGCCGCCGCGTTGATTGTTTTTGACACGCATGTCCATTTCTCTCATGGCCGCCTTCCTCATGGGCGACCTTGTGCCCGGCGCAGGAATTGCATGGCGTGACATGGCGTAGAGAGAAACGTGATCGACAGCTTGAAGCGCACTATGTAATCAAGTACTTATAAACTGCTCCGGAACTCGGGTCAACGAAGGACTTCAGAGATTCTTTCTTGGCTACGGTGAGAGAGCAGAAAAGGGTCAGGAAGGTAGGTGCCACCTACTTAAGTAAGAATGTAGAAGATCGTCCGGGTGCTTCAGGTGATTGACAAATATGAAGCAAAGAAAGATTGGCAGAAAAGCAGGCCATAATATGTTTGCAAGGCAATCGGAAGATGCTCCGGCCCGCCTGCGCAATCAGGCATCCTCAGGCTATCCAATGACTTATCGTACATTCCATGTAGGCAGACTCATCAAAGAGACTCACATTGTGTGAGACGACACCGTATGTAGATATTAGGTAACATATTGTTCGAAGAGTATGCAGGAAAGAGAACTTCCTGAGATGCATTTTACCGTGGGAAGTTCGGATCGAGAGGGTCTTTATCTGCCTTATGAGAGCGATTCCCTGGATGGAAAGAGCCAAGGTACATGTCGGCAAAGATTTATTAGTAGTATCTAAGGGGAATATGGCTTCACATGATCGTGAGAAGAACAGTCTGAATGTTGTACTGTTGTATCAGTCTGTCTCTGTCCAATTTTGCGGGTTTGCCAGCGCGCCAGTGTCGTGTGCCTCTCCGATAGCGCGCCATTGCGTATATTTCATCACGGCTCTAAAAGCTTGAACCGCGATTGGTCCCTCGGTCGAATCCTGCCCTTTTCTCCTACTGGCTCCTTCACCTTAAACATCTTCGACCACTTGGTACCTCTCTGACACTTCTCTCGCATCTTATTCTCAAAGGCATAGCTAGTAAGCTGTAAACCCGAAGACGAAACTCCACCACTTTTTCCTTCACCTACGGCGACAAGATCTTCGATTTCTCCACCAAGACCACCCTTCGTCAAAAAAGCTTGCTTGATTTGCTGCAATCTGAAATCTTCTGGTCCAACAATCGCCACTTCGAAACCACAATCATGCCTTCTCCATTCACCTCGAGCTTTGCCTCGGCAGCGGCAGGGAACACCACGACCGAAGGGGGAGCCAATGGCCGAAATACTGCGAGCGGGGATTGGTACGTGACACAGAAGCAGTCTCTACTCTTGGCGCCGCAGTGACCGCTTCATCATGCATGAACCTAACAAACATGATTCTCTAGGACGCGCGCTCGCACAAATGGCGCAACCCAAACCTTTCGTCGACCATCCGTGGCAACAAACATCTCTCAGCAAAAAGAGAGCGGCCAGTCTAACAATAATCCTACGCCATCGAGCGCCAACGTCTACGTTCCCCCTCACATGAACTCAAACTACCAGTCATCCTACAATCGCAACGGTCCATCTGCTGAAACTCGCTATTCAAAGGATCAGCTTCTCGACTTGTTTAGATCGCAGGAGAGAAATGGATTTCCAAGCACGAATGTCAATGACCTCTTTGTCGATGGCTGGCGTCCAGGCACCGTCAATGGGACGAGCAATGGAGGATGGGGCAAGAGAGATGATAATAAGGAAGCCTCAGGGCCAGATATTTGCTGGGATCATGAGGGTAGCGTTAATCCCATAGCGGTGCAGGAGATGAGTGAGGAGGAGAAAGAGGTATATCGAACCGTGGCGATGATTGCATGGAAGTCAATAGTCGCTGATGAGGAGTCTAGGCTTTCTCTACATCGGTCAATTCGCCACTGAAACCGCCAACTCAGAACGCTAACAAGGATGGTACGCCGAACAATGGAAACGTCAACCGGCGAACCTCCATCACGCAATCTCAAAATGCTATGAACAATTCTCCCTCCACACGTCCTGGTGCTCGACGTCGAGAATCTGGCGGCGATCTATTGCAAAATCCATTGGCGTCTCCGACCGGCAACAACAGGTTTTCAAGAGAAGAGTCCAGCATCTCTTCACCTCCACCATCCCTGCTTCGACGGACTACAGACTTCAAAGATAACTTTGGACCGAGCTTGGAAGACAAGGACAGAGAGATCGGAGGGCCCAGTGTTGCTACGGCCTCACCCTTTGGCTCATTGAGGAGGACAACCACACAGCCAGTAAGCACAGGTATTAATGGACCCTCGTCACCTTGGTCTGGCGCTCCATCATCAACAGGTTTCTCACCGATGGGAGCTTTCGGCAATTTTGCTATTGGTAGTGGGTCCGCGCAAACTCCGACAGCGGATGAAAAGAAGCCTGGATTTGGTAGTGTACGCGGTCAAAGTCGATTTAAAGACCTGATGGGGACTGTAAACCCTGAGGATACGGAGTCAAAAGTGAAGAAGAAGGCATCAGTGAACAGTCTGGAACGTTTGGCAGAGTCAGCGAATGGACCCACACAGGCGCAATGGGCTAATGACCGCACGGCACTGCCCAGGAATATGCCTGCAGATTTATATGGAGACGAGGAAGACTTTGGCACAGGTAGTGCGGCTCTGGGAGGCGATGACGCTGGTCCACCTCTGCCGCAGTCTTCCAGATACAGGAATCCTGACCGTCAGACTTCCTATGATGACATTGGATTTTCGTCTCTGGGTCTGTCTTCTGAAATGCCTCCTTTCCGCGAATTGATGCAGCGTCGGGACTTCGCTCAGCAACAGACTCCTCAAAGCCGCAACCAAGGAATGGGATACTCGAACGAGCCGATGAGCCCAACAAATACGAACCCGTATCAAAGCCCAGAGGGTGAGAAAGCCATTCCTGAAGATGTTGATACCGATGAGGTCGACCTTCGCAACTCACAGTATCCTGGTGCTGGACCGTTCGGTCATGCTGCTCGGGGTTTCCAGAATCAGCTAGATGCACAGACAGGGGATCGGAGCCAAACCTCGAGCACTGGCGCTTCACGAGGGTTTCCAAGCTTGGGTGGACCAGGAGATCTCGGTAGTCTAGGTGGATCAGGGGCCTGGTCAGCGGCCCCAGGCGCGATTGGTACCCCAAGTAGGGCACAGCCTGGTTTCGGAGCGGCTTTTGGTGACTCAGCATTTGGATCGCTTGCTGATATTACCTCACGAAGCCAGAGTGGACTCAGTGGTTCGACTCTTTTTGGTGCTGGTGCTCCGGGAACTACCAATCGAAACAGCAAGATGAGCTCTTTGCTTCCTAATGCCGTGCAAGACCAGATGCGAGGGGAGACGTCGAGGCATGAGCAAGCGTTTGGAGATGGTGGTGATGCTTTTATGAGGGACCCTGGTCACAATGCTCCAGGATTTGGATTGCGAGACATGGACACCTCTTCACGCCTCGGACGGGGTGGAATGGATGAAATGTTTGGCAATCTAGAAAATCGAGGCCGTGGTTTGCAGGGTCTTGCTTCACCTTTCGCTACTACCGAAGCTGGCCAAACCACGTCGAGTCAAGCGCCAATGTCAGCTTCTGTGCAAACCCCGTTCTCTGCCGGACCATCTGGGGGCAATTACTTTACTCGGTCTCAGGAACAAGATTCCAGCTCCAGTCAGATGCCTGCTTCTCAGCAACGACAGATGGTGATGCCGGATCGTATGCGATGGATTTATCGAGATCCTTCTGGCAACACTCAAGGGCCATGGTCTGGACTTGAAATGCATGACTGGTACAAGGCAGGATTCTTCTCACCCGAGCTTCAAGTCAAGAAGCTCGAAGATGCTGATTACGAGCCCCTTGCTCAACTCATTCGGCGTATCGGGAATTCACGAGAACCCTTCTTAGTCCCCCAAATTGGCATTCCTCACGGTTCATCAGCTCCTATACCTAGTAGTACCACCGCTACTTCTGGCGCTGTTCCCGCTACGACTCCATCTGCCGCGCAACCGCCGTTCGCAAGCAGCTTTCCTAGCTTCGGTACCACTCTCTCAGCTGAGCAGCAGAATGCTTTGGAGAGGCGCAAGCAAGAGGAGCAGTATTTGATGGCAAGGCAGAAGGAGCACTTGGCGCAACAGCAGGTGATGCTCAAGCAGATGCAGCACATGGGTGGGGTTCATGGTCAGCAACTGCATCACCATTCTAGTGCCCACAGTCTGCAAAGTCAACCAAGCTACGGCAGCATAACTTCTCCTGGTGCTCCTATCGGTTACCAGCCGTCTCCTGGCCAAGGGCCGATCCAACCGCCAGCGTCTGTCCAAGGCTTTTTCGATGGTCTATCCAGGAATGCTGGCCCTTTAGGAGCAGGCGCTGATCCGTTGAGCTCGGTACGTGAGGAGGATCTACCAAGATTGATGGAACGTCTTGGCATGGGACGCGGGAGTCAGCAACCGTTCAGTGACTCAGTTTATGCCCAAGATCCAGGTCATCAACAGCATGTAGCTGCAATGCTACAGGAAAGAGATCGACAACGACGAGAGCAAGAGCAGTACGATCTGTTGCAACGAGGGAATGATGACCAGCGAACAACAGCGGAACGACTCGAGCAGTATCATCGGTTGAGAGCGCAGGAAGAGCAGCAACAACTGCAAGCGCCAGGTCCAATTGGTGGGCATGTTAATCGCCAGACATTGGATCTTAATCTTGCAGGGCAACAGCAAATGCATGACGTAGGACACGAATATCAAGATCTCCCACAGCAAACTCACAACGAACCCGAGCCGCTCTCCCTATCCGAGCAGGTTCAGAAAGCCGCCGCCAAGCAGCAACCCGCTTCCCAGCCTCAATCGCCGTGGGCAAAAGTTGACTCCGGCTTACCTCAACCCTTCCCTCCACCTCAGTCATCTTCGCCAATGCCAGCTCCAACCCCACAGAGAAACAGACAGAGCGTTGCAGATGCTTTGAATGCTGAGTCACAAACCCCGTCCCAAGCCGACTCAGTTGAGACGCCCGGTGCTGCCCTCGCGCCATGGGCCAAGGAGCCAGCTGAGGGTTCGAAAGGACCCTCACTAAAGGAGATCCAAGCGTTGGAAGCCAAGAATGCAGCTCAAAAGGAAGAGATTGCAGTCGCCGCCCGACGAGCTGTAGCCGAGCAAGAGCGTCTCAGTCAACAGAATCAGCCTGTTGCACCAGCGCCAGGCTTACCGTCGTCGGCCAACTGGGCAAGCAGCATCTCGCCTGCTATTCCTACCACCACTGGCGCCTCACCTTGGGCAAAGCCGGCAGCTGGTAAGCCGGCAGTCGCAACACCTGTTACAGGAGCCAAGAAGACATTAGCACAGATACAGAAAGAAGAGGAAGCCCGAAAGAACCGCGCCACCGCCGCCGCTGCTGCGAATGCTGCAGCAAATGCTTCTGCCACTGCGGCTCTTGCGGGTGGGAAACGCTATGCCGAATTGGCTAGTAAAGCCAGCGTGCCTACCCCTTTGACCTCAAGTGCTGCATGGACTACGGTGGGCGCAAGTGGTAAGGTGAAGACACCTACTGCGCCTGCTCCAAGTTTGAGCACGAGATCTGCGAGCGGTGGTATTGTGCAGCCTTCAGCGTCGGCGGCTAAGCCCAAGCCGATCGTAACCACATCCACGAAAGGACCTGGGAACCAACAACTTGCGAACCAGGAGTTCCAGAGGTGGACCAAGAGCGCTTTGAGCAAAGGTCTTAATTCGAACATGAATGGTGAATACCCTCATTAGCTCTAATCTGCCACTACAACTAATGAGCCTTAGTTGACGATTTTGTATCCCAACTTCTCATGCTACCACCTGAAGCCGACATCATCTCTGACTCTATCTATGCCTCCTCCCAAACCCTCGACGGTCGCCGTTTCGCAGAGGAATTTGTCCGCCGCCGCAAACTTGCCGACCGTGGCGTCGTGCCTGATTCTGCTTCTACTCCGGGATTCTCGTCTCCCATGAATGCTAGTGAGAGTAAAAGCGGTGGTGGGTGGAGTGAGGTGGCGAAGAAGGGGCCTCAGGCTGCCAAAGAGGAGACGAATTCGGCTTTCAAGGTTGTGGCGGGGAAGAAGAAGGGCGGGAAGAAGTAGTTCGGTCAGGAGACCGACAAAGAGAGTTGAGTGCTTGTGAAGCATTGCATTGGTGTGACTGTACGATCAGTAGACTAGTGGCCATGTGCTGGATAGAGAATATGAATGAAAATGGTACTTGAACGAGATACCTGCCAGCTTTCTTCCGAACTAGCGCCGGGGTCTGTATGTCACTTCAGCGCAGTCTTCAAAACACATCGTCTAGGACCAGTGATAGCGATGTGAACAAGTCTAGACGGCTTACAGATCCGCTCCAACCCGCGGTCAAACTGCTGCAACATAGCATCTCCGAATTTGCATGCCTCTAGCGAACTTGTCGATTCGAGCGTTCCCGTCAACGATGCCGGTGATGACCTTATCCCCCCGCAGCGGGGTCACCAACGTTGATAGTCTGCAAACTGCGGGCATAGAGTCTCCGATGGAGAAGGCTGCGACCATCACCGACGGAGGAAGCCCGAGCTGATGCCCCTGAACATCCCACCAATGACAATATATCGGAAAGATTGAAGGTGTGGAAGATCTCAGATCTGGTGTTGTGCCGAAGGGGAAAGGCTGTGGGTTGGAATCGTGAGTGCCATTTCCGCTTCACAGTAACAAACAGCTCTGGCGACGCATTACAGGACTGTTCTATATGGGATGTCCCAAATGTGACGCGTCACAGTTCTCCTCGCCTTGCATTCTTAGTATACTTTTACTATCTCCATTCGCTCAATCCTACTGTGCTCAACCCCTTCCCCAACGTTTGGGGATAGACCTCCCTCTTCTATGCATGGTCGCAAAGGGGCACCTGCTCCTCGGTGCTATCGTCGAAGTGGCCGTCCGGTATGATTGCTTAAAATGAAGCGTTTACCTTTTCCATGCCGTACTTCGCTCTCATTCTGATTGCCACCTTTTGATCGCCGAGTGGAGCGGCATTGTTCACCTTTGCAGCGCGTTTGGTCGCTCGGTATGTGCGAGGCGCAAGAGCGGCTGAAAAGGAAACATCTCGAAATGCGACTCTTTTTCCGCTCAAATTTTGCTTCTATTTGACACTAATTAATCAAGCGCAGTGTCTGTCCTTGTTTTGGTACATAGAGCCCTCGAAGAGCGTTTTCCTTCGTTACAATGTTGCACCGGAGTTGCACGTCTGCTCTTGCTGAGCTCTTGGGTTTTCTTTTCGTTGTAGCTCGCTTCCCTACAGTTGCGTCGGGGATAGGATTCTCGCGAACCAAGTCACTAGCCAGGCGATCCATGGTAAAAGCTCCCGGTCACCTAACACTATGGAGTCTTGCTGATTGAGCACACAGGTTCTCGAGTGCTTCTTTGATAGAATACCAAGTAGTCCCAATCGCTACTCACCCTTTTGTCAATCGATTTAGCTCTCTACACGATCTCTGCTCCACCGTACGTATATTCGAAGTCCTAGGATCCTCGTTGGATCCAATGAATGGGCTCTGGGGCGTGTCTCTGCAAATATCAGGGCTCAGATGTTATTCCTGGAAGGTAGTGCTGACCTTGGAGTCTCTCCAGTATACCACGGGCATGGGATTGGTCTGTGGGCCTAATGGGGCGTTGCTGGTTCTTCAGCCCTTTTCACCGATGTGGATAGGTCCACCTGACTCTAGCTATCTCCGCAGGGCCTGCTTTAGCTGCCATTGTACAAACATCGCACCAGACGAGCCCCGAACCCCTGCTGTCCAAAGGCCTGCCTGTGTTGTAGATATAGGGGAGGACGAAGTAGGTGGGCCCGTCCCGAGCTATCCCCCAAATCCTCGATATAAGATTAGCACCACAGCGTCCGGTGACTTGGTCGAAGAAGACGATCCTCCGCTCTATGATCTGTATCGATGCAACGAATACATGTACGGCAAACCTATCTTCGCAGATTGTGATGACGCCTATGACGAAATGGAACGGTACCAGAACGCTTGGGAAGCTGCGCAGCCTGCTGACAAGGTAAATTATCGTCCGGCTACTTTTGTGGGTATTGGCCGGCTGGCAGATTTCAATAGTGTGTACGGCGCGAACTATGACCCCGAACTCGTCCAACTTCCAGTGGCTCGGACAAACGGTAAGTCACATGGTCTCGTCACTAGCCCACTCGTTCGAAGTCTTCTGCTAAGATACATAGGCACATGCACTATCACTATCATGCAACTCGAAAGACGACATATGCCTATTTTTGCAACAGAAGATTGGGACACTCTGCTCGTAAACATGCAGGATGTTATGTTCAACTGTGTTGAAGACCAAGGTATCGGAGGATGGGTAGAAACCGGTAAATCGCGTTACATATTCGAAAGATTTGTCTGGCTAAACATTACCCAGGCGACCTTGGAACTGGTGAAGACGCCTCACTGGGGGTCTTCGTCTATGGTCCCAACTCCCGATTCCAGCAACTCCTCGACATCAAATTCGCTTGTACGACCGACGCCGAGGGAAAACGCGGAATGTCAAGATACTGACGACGACGACGACGGGGCCGACGACCAACGGCCATCCAAGACACAAAAGACGGGCGAATGGGCGCCCGAAGGCCAAGGGGACGCCGGACAAGGCGGATCGAGTGACCCCCAACCTCCCGCCACGCAACAATGCGAAGTGCCTTGCTCCCACCCATCCGACTGCGACACAACCAACAACTACCTCTGCACTTCGAGCTCCCCCCTCCCCGACGACCCGCCCATCGACCCATCCTTCCGAGCCTTCTGCTGCCAATTAGTGACGGAGCTTAGCGATTCCATTGCCGCCAGCCAAGCGCTTGGACCCAACACCTGTCGCGATCGCTGTCTCCTCGCCAACACCACGGCTAACGCGACCACTTGGACGAACGGCACCACTTGGACGAACACCACGTTGGAAATCCTTGCCGTGCCTGATCAGTCATACCCGGGTTTAGCGCTTGAGTGTCCGTGTAATTGCAATTATGTATCGCCTGCGTGCTGTCTTTCGATCGACGGTGTTGTGTTCGAAGATCCGAGCGAGAAGAGTCCACTGGGGGTACAGGCGCCGAATAGAACCGTGTGCTGTGATGGAATGACCGGGGGTTGGAGGAAGGCGGCTGTGGTAAGGGATGGTTATGCTGGGGATCCGGCGTGCCCGAGTACCCCTAGTGGGGTGACTGAGCTGGAGTTGACCAACGCGTGATTTGGCGGACGGTGTGAAGTATGTGAAAGTGAGCCGGTGGAGATTAGCATGTCCGTGGAGAGATGTCAAGAGGGTCTGGGTAAGCACAATTAAACTCTTCACCCTCGTAAGAAACTCATGGTAATTGATGGCAAATGATGATTTTCTACCAAATCAGAACATTACCAACCTAGAAAATCCACATCATTCTGGCCTTCCACCTACGCAAGAAACACCCGCCCATCCCAATCACCGCCAAGAATCGCTCTTTACTCCAAATTCAGCAACAAGCTCTACCCTCCCACCACCGCCCGGTCTCCAAAAACGCGGCTACCAGAAGTCAGAATTCCCCGTCGCGTGCGGTATTCTCTTCCGATCTCAAGCCCGACCAGCTCCTGTCATTGTATCAAGATCGACAGCAATGTCGAGATGTTCACTCACTACGCCATGCTGGTTGTTTCTGCTGAGAGGTTTCCGTGCGTGTATGAGACCTAGCGCGGGGTGTTTGCCTTGCTCTGAACCGTGGCTTTCTCCTTATCGCCGAGGCTTGGGAGGTAGGCGCGCCGATTGAGAGTTAGGGGCCGGAAGTCCTCGTATCATATGGTCCTCGGTTCCGGTTGGCTGGCTGGCGAAATGAAGGATTGGGAGGCTGTAAGTGACGAAAGGGTGCGAAAAGCACCTCCGGGTCGTTTTCATCGTCATCGTGATGACTACGACGATGAGATGGTCTGGCTCAGCGATGAGGCTGGTGGGGGAGATCTTATTCGTCTTCGTAGTCAGCGTGGTGGTGTGGGTCAGAACGGCGACCATGGTCGGAGGGAGGGTGATTTCTCCTCCCCTTTTCAGGCATGTCTCTGTCATTCATTTGTCTCTCATAACCACGGCCAAGCGTCTGTCCATCGTGCATCTCTCGCGCATGAATCTCCCGGGCGCGTAAATCTCTCTCAAGCTTTTCGCTCTCAAGCATCTCTCTCTCAAGGTTTTCCCTCTCACGCTTCTCGCTCTCATACAACTCCTGCGTGTGCACTTGTGTTTCATGCATCGCCCGCGCATGCATCTTCCTAGCAAGCGCGTCTATCTCAGACATCTGTCTCTGATGCTTCTCTCTCTCGTACATCTCCCGCGCACGCATCTTCCTAGCAAGCGCGTCTATCTCAGACATCTGTCTCTGATGCTTCTCTCTCTCGTACATCTCCCGCGCATGCATCTTCCTAGCAAGCGCGTCTATCTCAGACATCTGTCTCTGATGCTTCTCTCTCTCGTACCTGTCTCGTGTACGCCTCTCTCGAGCCTGGCCTCCGTCAACCGCACCACCCTTCCCCTTGCCACCCCCCTGCTTCTTCCGCACGAGGCCCCGCTTACTCACCCACCGGGTCGATTTCGGATTCTCCCGAATCTCGTCGCGAAGGGTCTCCTCATCTATCATCCGCATGCGCCGGGGCATGGTTCCGAAGGTGAAGTGTTTGTGGGGTTGAGTGGGTGTTTGTACTGGATTTGTTGGAGGGTAGGCTGTGCCGGTGGAGGATAATGGAATCTCTGTGGATGTAGGAATGAGGAGCAGGGATTGTGGAAGACGGCTTCGAAGATATCCTGCCCGAATCTGCAAAAGGTCGGGGAGTCATGGTGTCGAGTACGTGTGTTCATGGTGGAGGAGATTTTTGCTGTGTCGACGGTCCGGATTTCTGGGTGTTGGAGATGCAACATCATGAGACGAACTTTGGCAAAGTGTGTTACAGCAGAGTGTGTTACCTCCCGTGGAAAGTTTGGAATAAGAAGGCTATATAGATATATATCGATCTATATCATCTACAACACGCACTTGAAAAATCAAAAATCAAACTATACCGAAGAGTACGGTCGGTGTGGGCGAAAAGGACTTCTAATATCCAAAGCCAACCAACAACAAATGCATAAGCAACAAAGAGTAGATAGTGGAACACGGTAGAAGTTCCCACCAGCCAAACAAAACCAATGCAATGGACCGCACTCACAAAGGCAATCGGCAGGCGTGGCGCTTTGTAAAGTGGCAGGCTGGACTTTCCTCTAAGCAGTGCATGACATCCCATGGATGCTCATAATACCAGCAATGAAGACATGTTCCTCGTCAACGATTCCCAATTCATTCCGACTGTATACTCCAGAACCGGGAGCTCAGCCCTAGCGGCCAAATGCGGGTCACTGGAATTCGCTCGATCGCGTTGAAAACGAACCGATATCGCCTGATTCCTTTTCGGCCGTGCGAATCTGTCAAAGAAGCATCCATCCTTTTCTTACTTACTCTCGTCGAATGTAACCGGTGGGTAGAGTAGCTTGTGTTCATGTTTCGGCCGTTGCTAGATAGGGATCGCGGAAGATGGCTTAGGTCTTTGATTTCTGGCTGCGGAGCTGGCGCCTGAATGGCGAATTCCTGATGTTTACCCCATTCCGATACTGAAACAACGAAGCTTTGCGGAAGCATCAACATGTTATTCGGCACCAAAGAATCAATCTAGACGTATACCGTATCAACCCATAGCGGTATAGAGTCCCCTGGAAATATACCCCACTGGGTACAAGGAACTTGAAGAGGAAAGAAAGTAACGCGGATAAAATCGAGGGGATTTCCAAACCCTCAGCTTCCTTGAAACTGTCCACAATCATCTCCCGCTCGCATTAGCCCGTTGGTCAGAGGATGCAGATCAATTCCCCGATACCGGCATTCGACACAAACACTCGACACAGACACCCGAGCAAACTTGATTGCGCAAATATATTCAACAACCCAGCCGCATCCAAGCCCATCATACTCAATCCCCACATTCCGCCAAGTCTTACATCTACAGCATCATCTCCGGACCGGCACGAATCCATCCCACCGCATCGGCGACCACGCTTGCCCATCTCGAGCCAAGCCCCACCGTCAAGGGCGAACCGATCATTCCCCGTCCCGCGGAGCTCTAGATGGTAGTAGCGCGGATGGTTAGAAATCGGGGCCGCAGGGCAGAGGGAAGGATTTGCCATCCATACGTATCTCACAGGGAAACCGACCCGAGTCCCATACGAGTCCGACACATAATTAGGCCGTAGAGCGGCAGGAAGGGATAGAATCGTGTTTTTGTCGTGGCCATTTACAGTGTTCTGACTTGTGAGGTATGGGGAGTGGGGGATGGATGGGATACGCCTTTCCTTTGTCTGACGGTCTGGTAACATAAGATCCGCTAAGATGGGCGCTAGTACGAGTAGCCCTAGAGTAAGGTACGGTATTTACATTGTAATTGCGGAAAAAGATCGAAGATGAAGGAACAGGGATTGAGTTTGTTTGTTTGTTTGTTTGTTTGTTTCGCACATGCAACAGGTGCGTGGTTGAACATGTGAGTAGTCAGTCCACTTTGCCGTGCGTGACTCTCGTTCTTGCCGAAACCCTGACAGCCGATGAGAGAGCAGGTTTGCTATGTAGTACCGAATACTGACCGCACGCTAAATACCGCTCGAGGGACATGCATGCTCCGTGACCTTGCGACCAGATTTCAGATAGCGCCGTTGTTGAACCGTGATGCTTCCGATAGATTCGTAGAAAGTGTGACACCCGCTCCTTGATATCACTCCCGCTCTGCGAACATCTCCTCAATCTTTTCTCCAATCAATGATAACTCCTCATCGCCTCCACATAGCCCGGTCCACCCTTCAAATCTCTCTCGAAGGTCTCCGCAACATCGAGCACCTTGATGATGTGTTCCATAGCGAGCGGTTTTTTCTCGTTGACCGCAAGAGCTTGAGCTGTGCGCACCGCATTTTTGATCTGTTGCAGCATGTTAGCCACGCACCCAGAGTCTCATGGGAGCACAAGACACATACCTGTCGACCATTAAGCTGGCGCCTGGCAAGCCGGTCATAATCATCGGCCGAGAAGTCAACAACCTCGACGCCGCCACCGATAGCCTTGACCTTGCCTAGGAAGGTTTTCCAGACACTGTTCTTGGCTTTGGTAGTAAGTTCGCCATAGCGGAGAGCAACGTGAATGCGGGATTGGAAGGCAGGATCGAAGGTTTCGACGCGGTTGGTCGTCAAGAAGAGGATGCCTTGGAAGTATTCCAAGAGTCGAAGGAAGATGCTGACGAGTGCATTCCTGGCCACGTCTTGGGGCTGACGAGCCTCTATAGTCATACATGAGCTGATTATTCCGAAAGGAGTCAGTTGTGAGGCATACCTAAGAAGACGTCTGCCTCATCTAGCAACAGCACCGCGCCCCATGAGTGAGCGACATCAAGGATCTTGTTGAGCTCAATCTCCAGTTGATCCGGCCTAGTACCTAACTCTCCCGTAGAGACCATGTAGAGCGGCCGTTTTAGCAGCTCAGCAATGCCTTCTGCGGTCAGGGTTTTACCAGTGCCAGGAGGACCGTGAAGAACAGCGACGAGACCGCGACCCTTGCCTAAATAGATGTTAGCAGCGCGTTGTGTGTAAGAAAACAGTATGTGGCGATAGAAATACCTTGAATCACATCGTCGATATTGCGGCTTGCTTCGAAAGTATGCGATTCGACCAAAGCCTTGACAATGGCCTTCTGGTTGTCTGGCAGCATGAGCGAGTGGAAGGCACCCTCGTTCCAGTCGATCTCGTTGATACCCGACACACTGAACTCGAGCCACAGCTTTTCGCTGAAAGCGAAGCCAAGAACGACAGGGCTCGCGATGAGGAATTCCTCCTCTGTGAATTCGCGCTCGATCGTAGCTTCTTGACCCGGGATCTCTTCGATATCCTCCTTTTGCATCTCGTTGCCGTCAGCATCCACCTCAAATTCCACGACCGTGTATCTCTCATCCTCATCTTTGATCAGTTTGTACTTAATTACTGGCCGGTCTGTCTCGCTGAACTGATCTCCAGCTCTCTGGCCGGTGCCTTCTTCGTCCGAGGAGCTCTGTTGGCAATCGGTGCAACTGCCTGCATCGCTATCTTCGCCTTCGGAGTCATCGAGGATATCAGGGTCCCCAGCCTTGACGGTGGAGATAGGGTAATTGGGATTGATCCTTCGGTGGATGGCGGGGTCTACCATAATCCTGCCGTTGATATTGACTTTGATGTATTGCCTCTTCTTCTTGAAAAATGCCATGCCCTTGTGGAACTTATACTGCATACCCTTAAGGCTGACAAACTTCTTCCCACGGTCTATCAGCTGTTTCTTCATAGTATCGGTATCTTTGTGGTACTTGAGTGGGTAACAGGCAAGGTTAGAAATCTTGCGAGGGCCTTTGAACTCCTCAACCTCAATCTCCATCGAGCCCATACCGAAGGTCTTGCCATCGTATTCTAGGTAGCGTCCTTCAATGTTGTAATACTTGCCTTTAACGTAGGAAGAATGCTTGATACATGGTCAGTATGTTTCTACGATTAACATAATCCGTGATTCTTACCAAATTAGCATACTCAATCTTGAAGGCCCTAGGCTCATCTGGACTGCCATACGTTGGACAGTAGGCGATTTCATTACTCTTGAACAATGCCCATAAGAGATCGAAGGTGATGGTATTGTTGTCCAACAAGGGGTAGAGCGTCTTCTTGATCTCCGCATAATCCTTGTCAAGGTATTTGATGAGAACCTTCAGATGCTTAGTTTTGGTCGTCGCTGAGAACTTCTTCTTGTTCTTCTTCTCTTTCTTAGATTCCATTTTGCTTTTCTTTTTTAGCTTCTTCATGTGAATCCGGAGCTCTTCAAGATAGAGAAAGATCATGTTAGGGTCGATCACAGGCGTCTCCTCCGCGAATGATACACCCTTGACTTCATCCATGACATCTTTCAAGGCCTCTTTGAGCGCCTTACTCTTGATGTCGAGAACTGTGTTGATGTACTTGTTCTCCCAATCAAAAATACGACGGACTTGGAAAGCGTACTGGTCATACTCGCCAAGATCGGGATCCTCCGCTGTGGCTTTGAGGACATAGTTGTGCCGATTGCTATCCCATATTCGGTCGACGCGGACAAAGTCAACTTTGGAGCCCCTATAGACTGTCAGCACAGAAAACATTTTTGGCGCTCAAAGACCAGGAAGCAAGAAGCGGAACGTCGTAACGCTCAGCCGCGGGAGTGTCTTCCCCCCATGATCGGCGCAAAGTTTTCCCCATTCTTGAAGCGAACACCCTATTCGTGACTGACTTTACGAGGGACGGAAGCTATAATTCCCTTTTCTGGAACTTGGAGCTGGGTGGATCGCGAGAGACCGACCTTTTCCCCGGCTTTCCCTTTGCCTTAGCACTTTTCTTCCCTAATTCGCCACTGATGCTCACGGTCTCTCCGATGCTTCCTCTTCCCACACGACCCCGTCCCAGTCGTTTGAGGCTCATAGCTTGCAGCTGAGCCAACTGTTGCCTGTAAAATTCAGCATCTCCATCTTCATCTTCATCATCATCCTCCTCTTCGTCATCATCTTCTTCCACCTCCTTGCTCTTCTTGGCCCGCTTCTTTTTTTTCAGCTGCTTTTTCTTTTTGCTCTTCTTCTTTTCCTCCTCCGACGAGCTTGACTCAACCTCCGAGTCGGAATCTGTGTCCTCTGCTTTGGCCTTTGCCTTTGCTCTCTTCTTCGCCTTCAGCTTCTTCGCCTTTTTCGCCTTGTTCTTTCTTTTTCTCTTGGCTGCCTCATCCTCCTCTGATGATGAGTCCGAGGAATCGTCTGAGCTGCTGGAGCAAGAGCTATCGGAGGATGAATCGTCGCTATCGCTGCTGCTGTCGGCCTCTACAGGCTTGGAATGCTTCCTGGTCTTCTTTTTGGAATCCTTGGCGTGCTTCGTGCAAGTAGACCTCTTGGCTTTGAGTTTTGTAGAAGTAGATTCCTTCGATGTAGATGGGCCCTCAGGCTTAGTCGGGCTTGCATCTTCCTTGGCCTTTGGGCCTTCAGACTCTAGGGCGTTGCCTTCTTGCTTGGCGCTGGTATTATCGGTTGTTTCCTCCATCCTTGCGGCGTCGATGTCCGCAATGCTTTGATAGTTGGAGCTCGAGGATTTAGTTGGGGTCTCAGCAGGTGTAAAGTCTGAGGTGGTAGGACTGGCAGAAGCGTCTGTGGAAGGTTTCCAGGAGGAAGGGGTTACGGGATGTTTGGCTGCGTTCTCTAGCTTAGGGATCATTAGGTCTGAGTCACGAGCCAGCCAAGTGTTAAGGTTGACCCCAGGCAATGTGTTGGATTATGGCGGAATGGTAGCAGAAGGATCGTTTGCGAAGGGGTGGTGGTGTAAAGTTGCTGGCAGGAGCTGAGACGCACATCTGGGCGACGAGACGGGTAGATGGTCCTTTTGTTTCAACAACGTCCAAGCCGGCCCTGAACCTGGAGGAGAGCGGATATGAGCTTATTGTTATGATGACCGTCGCTGTCTGAGTGTCCTTCCAGGGCTTCTGCCTAGGCCAAGAAGAGCTGGTCCAAGCGTGCGGAAGGATCCGAAGCATCCTCGTTCTGGGCTGATGGGTGAGGCTGAGTCCTTAACCACTTTGTGTGCCGACAGCCTTGTTTCATTTATTTCAGTACGAGTACGAGTACACATTTTGATGCATTTTGTCTCTAAATATAGTTCGTGGCCAGACTTTTCTGCTGCAGCTTGCTCCTTTTTGATGCGACAAAAGCAAGGTTGTGGAGAATGTAGGAGAATAATTGGCTCCCAACGTTTTGGATCCGCCTCGCTTTTAAATGCTGCTAATGCTCTCTCCCTTGCTGTGCCTTGCATTCCCTTGCATACGAAAGGTCATTCCTCAACGACCCTGAAAAAAAAGGTGCCTCCAGATGACGGCCGGCTACTGTAAGATATTCCTCAGGCCTGGCATCGCCACTATGTGATCCACATATAATGCGGATGTACGTATAACTGGTTTACACATTGGGTCTAGGCCCAGTCTGTAGTTGATGACCGGATTCTCACCCTCAGAGTCTCGCCTTTTGCTGCAAGTATTCCCCGCTCTTGGCACGGTCACAAAGTGTCTTCAGAGCCCTGGCTCCCTTCTCAAAATCACCCAGGTCAAGGTAGACCTGCCCACTGAGCCTGGTCCAAAACCTTCTCGCATGGAAGAACACTGGCGAGTAAATATCCGACTCCCTCACAAGCATCGCCGTCATCCAGACGGCGACTAGATACATGTCCTTCTCTGGTATCTGCTCCGGCCCATCTCCGATCTCCAATGGTAATCGCACGTTCGTGAAAGCGCATTTCGTTAGCATTTTCGTCCCGTTCTCCATGACACCTGTTCCGAGGATCTCGGCAGCTTGTCTTCCAGCTTCACTTGATATCTCCTCGCAATACCTCATAATCTTTTCCTCTCCACCGCAGACTTCGCGCCTGAAGCGCAAAGCTTCTTCTATGCAGAGGTAGGGACTAACGTCTAGTGTCGCCACAAACTCAAAGAGCAAGGCAAACGGGCTTGTACTAGAGGAATCCTTCATGAGGGGGTTCATAATCTCGTGGCCTGGTCCTCGCGGCCTAGGCACAAAGCCATGAGAAGTTGGTAGAGATGTGCGGATCAAATGTTGGTTTCTTCTGGGGACGTGGAAGACGGCACATGCTCTGGGTACGTATAGCCATCTGGCGCAGTGTCAGACACCTTTATCAGATCTCGTGCCAGGTGTATTTAAGTCAGCAAGGGAGAAGGACAAACTCACTTGTGGCAGTTGCTGGTAAAGAAGTCGGGTTGCACCTTCGACAACCCGAGATCTATTTGGCCAACCCCATGAGCACCGTCAACCAAACTCAGTACGTTCTCCTCCCGACACACCTCCACCAATCGCTCCCAAGGGACTCTGACGCCCGGGAGGCTTGAGATGGTATCGAAGATGGCGACCCCCACTCTCCGTCTCTTGCCATCCTTGACGTCGTTGATTGCCGTTTGGAACCTTGAAACCAATACATCGTCATCAATCGGATATTCCACCGCGACATTGACGCTTTCCACACCTCTGGTTTCGTGAATGTACTCTATCATCTTCGCCACAGACCCATACAAAGTACTCAGATGCAGAATTACTTCTCCCTTCTTGAATCTCAGATTCTCCAAGACAACGTTAATGGCTGTAGTGGCATTCGGCACGAATACTACTTCATCAACTGGAACATTCAAGAACGAAGCCATAGCGGCACGAGATCTGTCCAGCATTACGGGATAGTCATAGCGTTGGAAGTTGTCGGGCCGTGCTTCGGACAATGTCTGGCATTCGTGCAAGCGCTTTTGTACGGGCTTAGGGTAGGTACCAAAGGAGCCGTGGTTCAGAGGTGTGTAAGTAGGTGCGAGCATGAAATGGGTGTCTCGCATTGTCCGCCCGAACCGACATCTGGACGTGATGGGAGTGAGTGCATCTGCCATGATGCACCGATGATGGCTTCAAGTTGCTAAGAATAAACACGATGGCTACCAAGCAAAGAAGGGATCTCGACGAAGTGCAATGGTCTCAAATTGAAGACCGTTGTGGGAGTCGAGGTCCTCGTATTTATATTAAAGATGAAGCTGCTTGTTTTCCAGGGGGAAAGTATATGTGACTCATAACAGTCGGAAGGTGCTTCCTGCGGGGTCTTTCTTGCTAGTATAGCTCGCTTAGCTGGATCCTTGAGGAATCCTTCGGATCCTTCCTCCATAGAATCTACATCCTTCTTCTACCCACACGAGCTGATCCTTGCTACCTTGTTCTTTATAACTGTGGTGTGGTGGAAAGATGTTTATTAATCTATGTGATAGGCGCGCTAAGGCCTAATGGTACTAGTGGCCCTATGTAAAGGATTCTCCGTAACAGTATGACTCTTCTCCGCACTCGGATATGCTCGTGGTTTACACAACGTGCATTAATTCATGGGTAACACGGAGCCAGCACAGCTATTGATATCTCCAGGCTCGCCACAAGATCTCATCCCGCTCCTTCTTGTCAATCATTTCAATCAACTCAACTCAATTAATTATTGCGAAGAAGAGCCAGAGGTCTCCAATAATGCGGCCCTCACGTCCACCGGAGGGATCTCCCGCTTTAGCGTTGATGATTGCGTCATCACGCTCTGCCAAGGCCTCCTTATCGATAAAGTAGTGTGAGTAATCTTAGTCAGGAACATGCCGGCAAAGCCGCTTCCAACTTTCCACGCGAGCGGGGCCTAGATGTCCCAGATTCCCAGCCTCGCCATTATTATTATTTCTCCGAGCTGCACCAACATTATTCTTGCGCCCCAGACATCTGCTCTCTCTCTCTATCTATCTCTCTCTACGCATCTCAATCCATTCCCATCCAACTCCTCCTACTGCCCAAATTTGCCAATTGACCATTCACAATGGCACGAGCCTACCAAGAAGCCCACATCATGGACACCCTGACCGCCAGCGTCAAAGATCTCCAGACCAAAACCGCGGAGCTCGCCAAAGCAAAGGGATACCATGAGGAAAGGATCAAGAACCTGACCACCGCCAACGCGGAGCTTCAAAAGAAATACGACGCGCTCGAGGTCAGGATGAAAGCGAAGTATGCGCCCTCCCTCCATCCCTTCGCGCCTCGCGCCATCATCTCGCAACAATCTCCCCGTTCCCTCCCTCCCTCCCTTCCACACAGCCTAACAAGTCCCCACACCGACTGACCCATCCCAGCGAGCACAACACCACCGCCCGCATCCTCAACACGCACCTCTCCCTCTCCTCCCTCCCCAACAAAAACAACATCCCCCTCACCCCGCTCCACGACCTCTCCACCAACCGCCCCCTCCGCAACTTCCCCAAACACGAAAAGGACATCAAGACCATGGGCTCCACCGACGTGATCCAAGCCCTGCAAGCGCTCGACGTGCCCTCCCTGGGCCTGACGCCGGGCGAGAAGAAGGCGAAGTTGCGGGGGAAGTCGGGCTGGCGAAGGAGGATGCGGGGGGTGGTGCGAAGGAGGTGGATAACAATGATGAGAAGAAGAAGACGCCGAGTCCGGCGGATAAGGCGAGGACGAATACGGAGAATGCGAAGAAGGCGGCTGAGGTGCGGAGGAAGGTGTTGGAGGCGAAGCAGAAGAAGGCGGAGGCGGAGGCGGAGAAGGGAGGAGGGGAGGCGGGGAAGAAGTGAGGTGAGATGAATGGTTTGAAGGGGAGGGGAGGGGAGACGGTGCTGTTTGGTATTTTGGAGTGGTAATGTGATGGGTTGGGTAAGGAAAGGACACCCACGTCGACGATTGTATGAATGTTTGGAGTAGAGAAGAGAGAGACATATATACCCGGGATGTGTGAGTAGGATTGGGAAAAGTTGGATAGAATATACGACTTTGGACTCGTCTTATCTAATATAGTGTACTTATCATCTCCAAACCGGACACGAGCCATGGAAATACCATTCCACCCTTTCTTCCTATCCCTGCTTGTGAACGGAACTACGAGCACTCGCGAACATACCCATCAAGCACAGCACATTCGAAGCAAGCAAGCAAGTCTTCTTCATTCCATGTACGATCTATCTATCCATCCATCCATCCATGCAAGCATGGAAGATACCAGAGACGGAAAAAAGCCAATGATGCTATCTATCCAGTCGGATGGAAAGGGGAAAAATAGGCTGCGATCGAGCGCCCATCCCTCCGCGGGATAGGGATCCGGATCCAGTCTCACCGCGATGACGGAACGATCCACTACATAGCGCTGTCATGGGGAAATCATCCGTCCGTCCATCCATCTCATCCGCCGTCCATACCTAGCCCGCCCGTAGAAAAAGAAAAGAGGGAGAAAAAAAACGAGAAACGTGAACGTTCGCTTCATCCTTCCAGACCCTTCCACCCGAATCACATCCATCCATCCTTTCCCATAACCCCGCACCCGCGGTATGAGAAACTTCCCTCGGAGTGGGGACGACTCCGGAGTGCGAACCTCCTACGCGTCGTCGCCCTCTCCCGTATCCTCCTCTTTGATAGCGTCGTTCTCCTCGGCTCCAGTGGCAGCGGCGCCATTGACCGGATTGATGGTGGCTTTGCCGGCGGCCTCGAGCTCCTTGAAGGTTTTGTGGAGGAAGGCACTGGGGTATTTGTCGGTGCCGCGACGTTCCATGTTGGCGGCGACGTTGGCCCAGAAGCCGGTGTTGTAGGCGTCTTCGATTTCCTTCTTGGCGAGGAGGAGGTGCTGGTCCTGTTGGTTGAACGGGTGGTTAGCTGGGTTGAGGTGGGGAATGGGCAGGAAGGGGTAAACTGGAGGTGAACGTACGTCGCCTTCCTTCATGCGCATCATGTTCACCTTGATGCGATTGTAGCGGTTCGGGAGCGTGCTGGCAACATTGTTAGTCAAGTTTAGTACCATGTTGTTGGCAGAGCATACCTGGAAGCCGTGTCCTGTCCGGTCGCCTCCTTCCATGCGGCACGGATCTCGGCCCATCCCTCGCCCTTCTCCTTCATCGTGACCATCATCCTATCAGCATGGTCGGCATTGTCCCAGGAGCTCGGGATGCCGCGAGGAGCTGCAAGTTCTTTCTTGGGGGCCTGACGCTTGCGAGGCGTGTTGTGGACAGTAGTTGCATTAGATTCGCCATTGCCCTTGATGGGGGACAGAGATTTGTCAGTGGTCTCGGCAGATTCGTTGTCGATCTTGGCATCATTATCGGCCTTGGTGGCTTTGCCTTTAGCAGTCACGCGCTTTCCTTTCTTAGGAGTGACCGGCTCAGGGCCCTCAGTCTCTTCAGTCGTCTCTCCATCCACAGTCTCGACTTTAGGATCAGCCGCACTCTTCTTCTTTGGTGAAGCACGCTTCTTGGAAGAGGGAGTGATAGGATCAGAGGCTTCTCCGTTGATGTTGGTTTCGGCATTGGTAGCAGCAGTCGCTTTCTTGGTAGGAGAGCGCTTCTTGGTTGGCTGAGCGGAGTCGTCGTTGGCCGAAGCGGCAGCACCACGCTTCTTGGGTGTCTTAGGAGCAGGTTTGGTGTCGTCCATGTTGGTGCCCATGTTCGCCTTGGCTGATTAGCCAGAGGTCTTTGGTAGTAAAATGGCGTCGGCATAGAAATGCAGATGAAAGGCTTGAGCAAGTGAGGAATAAGAAGGCTTAAGTGTCTAAACAAGATATTTTCGAATTTGGCAGATCTTGAGTAGTAAAGGGAAATATGATGTGAGAGCAGCCAGGGAGCCCTCGAATCTCGCAGCCCTTGGAGAAAGCAAGTGACGAGCTGGAGCTTCCTCGAAGCTTGTAGACCTTACGTGGCTTGCGATAGGTTGAATGGTGTGCAGGTGTAGAGAAAATCATTGCGGCAACGCGTGAGAAGAGAGGGATAAGAGGAATGAGTGAGAGCAAAGAAGTCGGAGCGAAGTCGTCTGTAGTACAAAGTCCTGATGCCTTGAGGTAAAGACAGGAAGTGTGAGGTGGGGCATGAAGGTGTTGACTCACTTCATCAGCCTGGAGCTCATCACCATTGCTGCTGACCTTGACCAGGGTACCGGCAGTAGCGTTGAGGGGGGTGAATTCAGCGCCATGAGAGTACTCGTGAGTTCCAAGGCCCGGTCCGCCGTTGGCCTCAGCCATGGTAGCTTTAGTTCCGTTGTTGTAGGAAATCTCACCGAGGAGCTCGCGATCGACTTCGCTCAGTGGGCTCGACATGTTGCTAATGGAGTGCTAATGTTGCTGTAATGTATGTAGATGATGATAGTACGGTAGAGAGGGGAGTGTAAATGATGGAAGATGGAAGGTGGAAAGTTGAAAGTGGAAAGTGGAAGATGAGAGTTGGAGGAATGAAAAGGAAGGAAGCGAGGCCAAAAGATTCACGGTGATCTTGGTCTCCAGGGGAGGTGATCACAACAATGTGAATTATTGGGCCGCGACCTTTATCAATGAGTCCGCCTCGACTTCATCAATGAGTGGTGGTGATCCTATTGTAGCATCCGAAGCAGAGACTCTTGAAACAACAGTTGCAATAGCGTTCATGCTTCAATGGTGACTGTTGACCCAAAGTATGCCAAGTATTGAGCAACTGAGCCACTGGTTTGAACAAAGATTTGCAGACGGATGTTACTGCAGCTTTATTCCTCCAGAACATCTCCACTCTCACATGCTGCATGTGAGGTGTGCAAATGATATGGCGTCGTGCCGGCTTTTGAAAGCCAGAGTCATGTTGCGCAAGTAAGCTGCTGCTGCTGTGCAACCTCGTAGAGCAGCTCTCTCATACTGCAAGAGAAGCCCAAGGCGTGTTGAGGTCGGGTAGATTGAACGCACTTCCACCAATCCCCGGCTACTCCTCTGCCTTTCAAGAGATGGGCTTCTCAGCATCAGAATAACACCATGGAGATATCATTACGAAACAGCCAAAGCATCTGAGTGAGTGTGGCATCGATTGGAGCAGATAGGGCACCGAATTCCTCAAGCTCAGAGTTGGGAGACGATATTATT